CAATCCAACCAAAAAAATCTGGTGTGATCTGATGAAAAACACTCTAAAAACAACCTCCTGGGGGGCCTGAGGGGTCTGTGAAGGTGAGAGATAGGTAGGGAGTGAGTTTTCAAGGTTGATAGACAGGGTTTGAGAGAGGTCCAAGGGAAGGATTTTCATGGTTTGAGAGGAGAGTTTTCAGGGTTGATTTTCAAATTTTGAGAGGTGGTGTTCTGGGTGTTTCTGTCCTGGTCTCCGTGTAAGTTGATCTTGCAATATGTTAGGGGTGTTCTGGGGAGAGCAGGTGAGGATCTTCAGGGTTCTGGTTCTTGATGGTAGATTGCAAGATGAGGGATGTACAAGGTGTGGATCTCAAACAAACTCCAAGTTCAAAGTTTGTGACATGTACATAACAGGCTCTCTACATATGTAATGTCCCCGGTTCCAGTCCTCCACAGCTCATAACACAAGCTAGGTTTCAAACCAGTTTGTCTTGAGGTTGAAGCTTAGTCTCATGTTGGATTGCGTGTAATCCAACATGAGACTGTGCTATGTTGGGAGTGACTCCTTCAGACAAGCTGTTTATACCCCAGCTTGCCAGAGGCTTCTCCTGAAAAGCTGGTTTTAACCCCAGCTAGCCTGGACCTCCAGACTCCTCCTGAAAGGCTGGGTCTAACCCCAGCTAGCTAGGAGCTCCTCCTGACAAGCTGGGGTCCATTCTTCCTTCCGCTTAATGGGAAGGCATCAGTGCTCCCCCCTTTGGCAAGGGGACACAAGGACCCAGGCAGCCCCCTATAGAGGTGCCTAACCAAAATGTAGGAATTTTTTCACAAATTTTGAAAATGGTACTAACAAAAAATGTATGAATGGACTTTTTTGGCTAAAATGGTACTAATTTAAAATGTATAAATATTTTACTGGGGCAGGGGGGGTACTAAACAAAGTTGTATGAGGGATAGCCAGAAGGATTTTTTTCTTTGCCTCCCCCCCCCCCCCTTGGTAGCAGCAGTGTGGCAGTTTTTTTTCCCCTTTGGTAGTGACCAAGCACAGGGGTTTTTTTTGTAACTGTAGCTTCCTTGGTTGAATTTCTTTGCGTAGAATTATGAGTAATTTTGCTAGTTTGATGTATTATGCATTTTATGCATGAAAGATGGGTTGGAAAACATGCTGAGGACCGGGGTGAAAAATAATGCTTTAATGCTTTCTTTCCCAGTTCCAATATCCCTGAAGCATCAAGCCTTACAAATGTCAGCCAACACAGTTCAACAGCTTTTTTTGGATATTCTCTCAATCTCCAAACCAACCTCAACAATCCCCCAAGCCACCAAAAATGATCTAATCTTTCAGAGGTTCTGCAACCCACCAATGATTGATGAAGATGAAGAGGACAAGGCATGTGGTATGTTGTCAATAAAGCTGTGGATTCATTGTTTGGTGTCGAAAACTGTCAAGAAAACCTCAGGTCCGGAAAGTATGGGATTGAAGTTGTTATCAACTACCTGAAGAATGCTTGTCAGCACCCATCTTGGAGGGAGGATGAGTTTCTTCTCCTCAAACTGACGTGTATCTATAAATGCTTTCAAGGCAAGTTCTTTGGGTTCAACCAAACAATTATCTGACTGCTAAAAATATTACCTTTTTTTATTTTGAAACAGATGCTGGTGGGGTGCTCACAAAAGACACTCCTGAAAACCTGACATCCAAAATTCGCAACAGCACCCCTGGTCCAGTCAAGAAACCTTTGAATGCACCTAAAGCAAATCTTGGTCCATCAAAATCAACCCCACAAATCTTGAAAAAGTCTCCTCAATCAACAAAACCCGACCCTGGCATTCACAACACGAATTCAAAAGGAACCACTGCCGTATTTAACCAATCTAGAATCAATGATACCAAAATCTTGTCAAAGTGTCCAAATTCAACCAAGACGCAAGTGTGCGACAAATGTTCGATCTCAAGACACCACGATGGCTCCCCCCAGGATCTTCTCTTCAACTGTCACTGTGGAGCACCACCAATTTTATTTTTAAAAGGACAACATCAAAGTGCTGAAGTTCATTGGCAATCAGGTTAGTACACCTACCATTTTATTTTTTCAAAACCTGTTGTTAGATGGCTAATTCATCCATGTTATGATAGGCCATTGTAAACGGTTTACTTCAAGTATCTGATGAGACTTGGACAAGACCTCGAAGTCAGTTCAGCATTCTTCAATGCATTGAAGGCTCTCCGAGTTCCCATCATGGGGCCCCTCCTTGACACAAAGTCTGCTTCAGACTATTTGGGACAACCAAGGAATCCTCACTCAACAAAAAACAAACTTGAAAGCTGATCCAAACACTTGAATCTGAGTCAACATGGTACATAAAGCGACACGATGCAACATCCGGTATCTTCTCCTCAAAATGCAAGAGGCATGTAGAGGTCCCTCCTGGAACATCAAAAGTTGTTTGTGGCCCGTGCCTTCTTCTAAAACAAAACAACTTGTTGAAGCAGGCTCTCAACACTCAATATGCAGCTGAAGACAGCATCAAGTTCATCCTGGCCGGTCTAATGCAGCGGGACTTATTTCTTTCAAAGTTGATGCGCTACAAAGAACTTTGCCTGCTCAACACGTCCCTCAAAAAACAGACCAAGTCTGCTGATCTCCAGTTCTGAGAAACTCTAGCAGTTCATGCCAAACGGGGCTTATTCAACAACATGGGTGCTTTCCAAGGACTAGTCAAAGCAGTGGCTGTCAGAACTGAGCGAGAAGCAGAAGGAAAGGCGCTGAATGGAATGCATTTTGACTCGTACTTCAACAGCTTTTTGACAACAATGGCTGCAATGAGCCCTGCTTCAGCCAAATTCTTTTGAGATAACTTTGCCGGCCGTTCTCTCCGTAGCATCAGGGCCAAACAACAAAAAAATGGAGGCCAGATTGAGGATGGGATCGTTTTGTCCAACTTTGAACGGGTTGCTGGAGATATCAAAAACTTGGGTTACAGCGGTCCCCTTGCTCTGGTGTCCGATCAAACAGTATGTGTCAAATCATTAAGGTCTCACAATGGAAATCTTGTTGGGGTCCAAGGCGGTGATGTGCCTTTCTCCAATCTTGAAGAACTCAGCAAAAGAGTCAAACAGATAATATTGAATGAGCAACTATGTAGTAATGTGAGATTTTCCAATAACATCTGCATTTCAAATCCACACTGATGGCTTATAAATGTCTTACATTCTCTCCTAGGTTTGCCTCTATACCATTCAGGTTCCCCTCCCAAAGATCCCATTATTTGTTGTTGCCTTGGATGTCGATTATATCTATTGGAAGTGACGGGGAAGCCACCGAGATGTCAGCCCTCCGCATTCTCCAATCCTTGGCTGATAGACACCTCTGCTTTCAAAAGCCTGATTCGGCCATCTCAATAAAAGTCCCACTGATTGGACAGCCTCATCAACCTGTTGTGCCTGTCCAAGACCCTAAACACGCTGTGGTAACCCATACCTTTCCAAAGCCCCTATTATTTCACTGTATATTCACTTGGTTTTCCTTCATTATTATTACATATTCAGATTCTGCACCCCATTTTACATGTAGTCACTCACTCAAGCCATATTTCATTTCTTACTGGATCAATAGTTATCTTCATTTT